AATAAAGACATAAATATGTGTATTACTTAAAAAGTAATGCATGATTACCAATGAAATTTTTTTTTACCAAATAAAGATTAGGGTGTAATGCATAAATATTATACAAAGTTACAAAAATTTACATAATAGTTTTTTTTTGTTTTTTTTAAAATAAAGATTAAATGGAACAAAGGAAATAAGCTACTGGACAAAAGTTAAGGAACGACTTGTTAATACTTGATTGTGAACAAAATATCAACAAAATTAGAATATTTGGTAAACATCTCCTTATTTTTAATGACTTCTCTGCATCGTCGATCACATGATCTAATTAATTTCTTGCAAAAATCAGCAGTAATTCCCTCCCATTCATCTTTCAATAACTCCCATAGGGGATCATGGTTTTTGGGGTTTCTTTTCTGAGCCCTTTCTCCAATTATCTTCCAAACATTTTCTATTGGATTCAGGTCAGGGCTCTGGGCTGGCCACTTCATTAGGGCGATTCCTCCTTCTTCAAATAAAGGCATAACCATTTGAGCCTTGTGGCAAGGTGCATTATCCTGCATGAAAATAGGAGATTCATAAAGATTATGGTGTAATCTTGGTACCACATGCTGCTGAAGAAGCCTTTTGTAAATCTCAGCATTGATATTGCCATGTACGCGGATGATAGGGCCAACTCCTGCAGATGAAATCATTCCCCACACCATCACACTGCCGCCACCAAACTTAATGGTTTTCTTGACACATTGAGAAGACAGTCTTTCACCTGTTCTATGGCATAACGTAAATTTTACCCTCAGAACCAAATATAGTAAACTTGGACTCGTCACTGAAATGAACTGCATCCCATTGTGCATCAGTCCAAACAACATATTCTCTCGCATACTCCAGGCGTGCCCTTTGGTTTCGCTTTGAAATGAGAGGCTTCAAAACTGGAATACGGGCATGCAATCCTGCATTTTTTAACCTGCGAGCAGCCATTTTCCTTGAGATCTTATCTGTCTCGTCATTAAATTTACGGGCAATTGATGTAGCAGTTTCAAAACATTTTTTTGTAGATATTCTAACAATTCTTTGATTTTCTCTTTGCGATGTTTTTGGAGGTCTTCTGGTTTTTGGTTTTGCATCTGACGTTTTATCGGTTTTAGACCTGCTAATTACACGATGAACGACGCTTTTAGACCTATAAACAATATCAGAAATTTCTGAAATTGAATTTTTTCTTGATAGTTAGCAATAATGAGTTTTTTTTCTTCAAAAGAGAGCGTTTTGCGTGTAGAATTTGCCATATTGCTTAAAAATAAAGTCCTAATGATAAATGAACTTTTACTTACTGTTGAAAAGTTCCATCGAGTTTTTTAACAATGTAAATTAAAAGTTTATGCAACTTATTAACATCATTCCTTAACTTTTGTCCAGTAGCTTATTTCCTTTGTTCCATTTAATCTTTATTTTAAAAATAAAACTATTATGTAAATTTTTGTAACTTTGTATAATATTTATGCATTACACCCTAATCTTTATTCGGTAAAAATTTCATTGTTAATCATGCATTACTTTTTAAGTAATACACATATTTGTCTTTGTTGCTTCCGTTCCTTATATTATGGCCGCTACTGTATATATACACGTGCACACACACACACACATATATATATATATATATATATATATATATATATAAGTATTTGGTAATCTGTATGGATAATCCCAAGAAGGATGTCATCCAGAGAGCTCAATGTAAAAACGGAGCAAATATTAGTTAAACAGACAATTTTAAACTATAATCCTATGAACCCTTAAAGTTGTCTGTTTCTTAATTTAACTTTGTGTATATATATATATATATATATATATATATATATATATATATATATATATATGAGTTGGAAGAATTCCCTCCTCAGTGTCATAGACTCTGTTGACATAAAAACTATAGTTATTTGGTAATTGTTGAAACTTGACTAATGCATGGCATAATAATGCAACACAAAATGTACTTAGAACAAAATGTATTGAAACAAGAAAGTGTACACAATATTTACATATAGTCTTTTGTATATTTCTGGGAAGACTGTTCCTGGAGAATGTGTTGACTTAGTCGCAGTCGGGCAGAGTCTCTGGATTGAATCTCTTGATTCCTCCCCAGTCTTCCCGGTACCAACCATATTTATATGGTCGGTACTCCACTATGCAAATTAGGTGGATCCTACCACAACAGTAATGAAGTGAATATTTTTTGATCTGCTTATTATTTAATACTTAGGAAATATTTGTTATAAACAAGAAAATGCAAACCAACACAATGTTTTTCTCAAGAAAAATGCAGTTATCAAACTGCTTGATCATGAAACAATGGCCTGGCTAAACTAAATATAACATCATTTAAGTCAATGAAGCAATAACTCTAGACTAAAAAAAATATATCAATATTTAGCTCTTTTCTTTTTTTTTGACATTGTTTTGAACAAAAATTATTACTTTTTCCTTATTTTTCTTGTTTTTTTATTTTTTTCAGTCATTAATCGTTCCACCAGTTGGACCTCCACTTTCCCCAAGTTTTGATGGTCGAAATAGTAGGTCCAAATCTTGGTGTGGCCGTCCAATTTGGATTGATAAGCAGTATGCTGGCAGAATCAAAGTCCCGCATACGTTCAATGTCCACAATTACACCAAGCCAACAGTATGCCAATCTTGTAAGAAACTTCTCAAGGGTCTTTTCAGGCAAGGAATGCAATGCAAAGGTTAGTGACTAAGACCTTGCTATTTTCAAAATAACATAGAAATTAGATCCATTTTCTTATTTTGTTTCGTTCCATTTTTTGCGACAAATGTTTCTGTTCGGACAACAAGTTGATAATAATATTTAATTTCTGTCTGTCTCCTGGGATGAGGAGTTATCATTACTTACGTTGGACTAATCTTCTTATCTTTTATGTTGTTATTATCCTGTTCCAGTTGTCTGTGTTGCTATTATCGCAACGTTCTGGTCCTCTCCGTTGCTATTATCGCAACGTTCCAGTCCTCTCTGTGCGCTATTATCGCAACGTTCCGGTCCTCTCCGTGCGCTATTATCGCAACGTTCCGGTCCTCTCCGTGCGCTATTATCGCAACGTTCCGGTCCTCTCCGTGCGCTATTATCGCAACGTTCCGGTCTTCTCCGTGCGCTATTATCGCAATGTTACAACTGTTGTGCCCTCTTGCCTTCATCAGTCTTTTGTCAATCAAGGTAACGTTCAAGTGATTTTGAACTGAACCCTTTATTTAACCTACTGGAGAAAAATTGTCTTCATCCCACTGACTAGGACTAGCAAGATATCCCTAGATATGGACAGTGGAATGAGAACAATCTACCTACTCCTGTAGATTAAATAAAGGGTTCATTTCAAAATTCCCTGAAGTTTTCCTGGATCACCAGCACCTGATGAAGGCTGGAGGTCAAAACTGCTGAAATCTTCTCATAATAACAAGAGATAAGGACAGTAGTCCACATGTAAATAATGTTTTAGTAAGATATTTCCTAGAATTCCTTTAAAAACTTAAATGAAATAGCAAATGTTTGTTATAAAAAGACAAGAGATCAGTAGAATCTTTGTTTCTGGCAGGTTTCAGTCAGAAGACATATTGATTGGCACAAAAGCCAAAAGAAAAACAAATGAATCCTGATGCACAAGGCTGCATACAGATCTTTACAAATATAAAGATCTATTCTTTCTCTCTATTTTTAAGGGAAACAATAAATAAACTGCTTTGTCTAGAAATGACAAGATAAGTTTTATTTGATATTTCTTGTTAGAATTTGGTTAGCTAGTCATTTTATTTTATTTTTTTTATTTTTATTTTTTTTAGTTTTAGTTTTTATTTTTAGTTTTAGTTTTTTTTTTTTAGTTTTGTTTTTTTTTTTTAGTTTTAGTTTTTTTTTTAGTTTTAGTTTTTTTTTTTAGTTTTTTTAGTTTTTTATTTCTATTTTTAGCTTTTTAGTTTTAGTTTTTTAGTTTTAGTTTTTTAGTTTTATTTTTAGTTTTTTAGTTTTAGGTTTTTTTTTTTTTTGAGTTTTATTTTTTTTTATTTTTAGTTTAAAAAAAACTAAATGTTTTTTACTTTGTTTTTTTTTTTGTTTTTTTTACTTTTAGTTTTTTTTTTTTTTTTTTACTTTTAGTTTTTTTTTTAAATTTTTTTTATTTTACTCCGTGGAGTTCTCAACAGACCAAATTGACAATGTTTGCAATAAACAATAACAAAAGAAAAAAAAATAACAGGGCGAAACAATACAATGCAAACAATGTATGCAAGACAAAAGTAGACAAAGCAACAGTACATACACAAATGGGATACAGATAAGTGATTACAGCATTCTGACTTCAAAAATATGAGATGAGACCAAGAAGTGGCCTATCTTATTGGCTAAGAAATTCCAACATGCATTGACTGCAATTTGTCTATAAATTTGAGGAGGGGGATATTTTTGCAGACATTCCCATACAGGACTGGAACCTACATACTCTTTTCTGTTTTGAAATTAACATACCAGTAACAACCGTTAACAAATGTGCAAAATCAAAAACTCAATTAAGAAAACCTTCTGGGAGTTTCAACTTTTATAAAATTTTTGCATTGGTTTCATACTTTTATTCCCTTACTCCATAATCAAAGAGATAAAACTTTTTCTATTTCTTTGCAACATTTCTTTCCTTAAAATGAAAAACCTTTCTTGCTGATTTCTTTCAGATTGCAAGTTTAACTGCCATCGTAAATGTGCCGGTAATGTTCCAAATGATTGTGCTGGTGATCTTTCAAATCCCTGTGGAATAGAAAGTAAGTTTTTTTGTTTTTTTATAATCATTTTACCCTATTTCAACTATTGATTATACAGGGTACAGCAAAAATACCTTCCATCTAATGGTAAGTCATTAGCTAAATGAAGACACCATTGCCACTAATGTCTTACCATTATATAGATGGTATTTCTGGGAGGTGTTTCTGCTACACCCTCTATATGGTTAAAGATAAATTTTTTTCTTGAATTTTTTAAAAACTTTTTGTGCCATTTTTTAAGAATCAGATGGCAATAAAAACCTACTCCTTGACCTTTTGACCATAATGACACCTTACAGGCTACCGTGCATAAATAAACATTATTTTCATTGTTTTCTTAAATTTTTTTTATAATCATTTCACTTCAATCGAGGCAATAATGCCACTAGGATGCAGGGGGGTTACATGGAGTGAAAAAGAAAACTTTAGTGAGGAAATGACAATATAGAAAATAGTGCTCAGAAAGATTTTTGAAGATTGTGGGTGGCAGAGAAGCAAGTAATCTGAAGGAAGTTGCACAGGTAAGAAGTGCAAGAAAAAACTGTTAGAATAGAAGTGGTGGTTGCATTTAGCTAGTTCAACTCTAAAACTGAATCTCATAGCATGCTTAAATTGATGTGGTTGAGGCACTAGGTGGGGAAACTCATCAGAACAATTGCTATGAAAATATTTGTAGAAAAGACAGAGGGAAGCCATGTTGATGAGAAAGTGAGTGAAGTTGAGATGCCATGTTTGGATTGATTACATTACACATTTTTTTGAATTTTGTCAAGAATCTTGAGATATACAACAGGAGCACCAGACCGTGTATGGCAGTAATATTCAATGCATAGACAAATGGTAGATTTATAAATATGCAAGATGTATTCTGATGAGTAGAATTGTCTGGCACAACACAGTGAACCAAATTTCCTAGCAATTGATTCAATGTAATCTTGCCACTTGAGCCCAAGAAGGAGCAGAATGTTGTTCTTTTGGAGTTTAATGTCAGCCATACTGATGGCAGGCAGAAAAGGTTCTTTGTGGTGATTAAGTGAATACAGTTTGGTTTTGGAGTCGTTAAAATTTACAAGCCATTTCTTGCTCCAGTTAACCTCTTTAATGAGAACTATTGTCAGTTTTACTTTGTCAGATATGTTGGACATTCTACTGAGACGAGAAGTGAATAGTTGTCTCGTCTGTGTAAATACCTAATTGGAAACTGATGACATCAGAAAAGTCATTGATAACAATCAGAAAAGTGTAGGTTTAACAATAGAGTCCTGGGGGACCCCCACATTAATAAATATGTAGTAGAAGCACTTTCTAAAATTAAATGCCCTTCATAAAAATAAGGACACTCATTATACATATTTCTATTCATGAGGTCAGTAATAGGAGCACCAGACCAGATATGGTAGCAGGATTCGATGCACAGATGAAGGGTAGATTTATAAATGTTCAAAATGGATTCTGATGAGAAGAATTGTCTGGCACGTCACAGTGAACCAGCTTTCCTAGCAATTAATTCTATCTTAATATTCACATCTATCTAACTCTGTGCGTCCGTTATGTGATCTATCTCTGTGCGTCCGTTATGTGATCTATCTCTGTGCGTCCGTTATGTGATCTATCTCTGTCGTCCGTTTATGTGATCTATCTCTGTCGTCCGTATGTGATCTATCTCATCGTCCGTTATGTGATCTATCTCTGTCGTCCGTTATGTGATCTATCTCTGTGTCCGTTATATGCGTCCGTTATGTGATCTCATGCGTCCGTTATCTGATCTCTCTCTGTCGTCCGTTATGTCCGTTATGATCTATCTCTGTCGTCCGTTATATGATCTATCTCTGTGCGTCCGTTATTATCTGTGATCTATCTCTGTGCGTCCGTTATGTGATCTATCTCTGTGCGTCCGTTATGTGATCTATCTCTGTGCGTCCGTTATGTGATCTATCTCTGTGCGTCCGTTATGTGATCTATCTCTGTGCGTCCGTTATGTGATCTATCTCTGTGCGTCCGTTATGTGATCTATCTCTGTGCGTCCGTTATGTGATCTATCTCTGTGCGTCCGTTATGTGATCTATCTCTGTGCGTCCGTTATGTGATCTATCTCTGTGCGTCCGTTATGTGATCTATCTCTGTGCGTCCGTTATGTGATCTATCTCTGTGCGTCCGTTATGTGATCTATGTATCTATTTAAGCCTTACAGATTCTTTGAATTTTATGAAGAATTTCTAAATATATGGTAGAAGCACTTTCTAAAATTAAATGCTGTTCATAAAAATAAGGACACTCATTCTATATATTTCTATTCATGAGGTAAGTAATAAGAACAACAGATCAGACATGGCAGCAGGATTCGATGCATGGACGAAGGGTAGATTTATAAATGTTCAAGATAGACCCCGGAGAAAAATTGTCTTGAATCAACTTTCCTAGCAGGAGACGTAGCAATTCTTTCAATATAATCACTCCACTTCATGCCAGTGGAAAACATGAGCCAAAGAAGGCATAAATTCTTGCTCTCCTCTGCACCCAAGTTTCTTTTTAGAGTTTCTTTATTCTTCTATCTACAAACCACAGTACAATTCTTTGTATAGATACGGTTGTCGCTATATATATATATATAGGTGGAGAGTTGGTGCTTTTCCTCATTGACAACACTTACCTGTTTATTTACATTCAGATTATTGTCCTAATCTTTGTTGTTGGTGTCCAAACGTTTTAAGTGTTGTGCTCTCTGGCCTTCATCAAGTGTATATTGATCTGGGTAATATACACCTGATGAAGGCCAAAGGGTAAAATGTCTGAAACGTTGTGATAACAACAAAGATGAGGACAATAGTTTGAATGCAAATAGTGTAAGTAATGATGACTTCTAATACCAGAAATACAGACAGAAGCAAATCTGTCTCTTAAGCACTTTTGCTGCTGCATTGTTGTATCATTGTTGCCTGGCTGTGCTGGCCCATTTTTGGAAAAATTGCAAATTGCCATTTACTGGAAATAAATGACTATAAAGACAATGACAATTTTTCATGGGTGCTGCTATCTTGGTTTTGATCAGATATTCTGTAATACAGATTAATCTAAAGAACATATCCAATACACACTGTGATAAAAATACATCAAAAAACGGGTCATATTGTTCACTACTATATATCTACATTGATTTGGGAATAACACTAGGTGCTATTTATTTTATAGCACAGACTCTGACTGATATTTTGTGGTGTCTTGAAAATGTATTTATATGTCAACAGCAAGTATTATAAGTTTCATAAAGTCATAAGAACATCTTGAAAACGTTTATGTATATCAACAGCAGGGAGTATAAGTTTCATAAAGACGTACAAGAACATCTTGAAAATGTATATATACATCAGCAGCATGCAGTATAAGTTTCATAGATATATAGTTTGGCTTGTTTATGATCATATCAACTCTTAATAGCAATTTCCTTGAGAGCTTTGGTAATTTTTAAAATTTTTTATGATTAAAATCTATTGCTGGAAATGTTTATTATAAAAATGTATTTTTATACTTTCCTAGTGTTTTGACACCAGTTTGGGGGTTCACCATTTGCCCATAGCTGGAACCCTAACAGGTGCTACCACCCTGATTCAGGGTGGGCCTGGGAACAACAGCAATTAAGAGGTGATTCCACATTCATCAAATCCTCCCACTCAGAGGACTTGCTGCCGGATGTAGTTATAAAGACATAAAAACATCATAAAAATATATATAAATATATATATATATATATATATATATATATATATATATATATATATATATGTCAGCAGCAGGCAATATGTTTCATAAAGACATATAAAAAACATCCACAGCAGTGGATGTTTTAATTATGGAACAAAAATGTTAATGTTATGTAAGATTTACATCTGTCTATCTGGAGAATTAAGACCTATTAACCTAGAATTTTTAAATGTTATGTCGCAAAAGTTTTCAAGACATTGGCCGAAAACGTTTATCCCTGCAAAAAAGTTTTTCTCAGATCCAAACACCACTCGTGTCTTTGTATCCATTTTCATATATGTGTGGGATGCAATAAATTCGTTTTTTTTGTCAAATGCAGCCTTGGGGGTGATGAATTATGTTCCACCTTACAACTCATTTCCTCACAGGCAAAACACTGCTAGCCTCTCACTACTTTTACTGGCAAAAGTTCAAAATTAGATACATTCTTTAGTTTCGCCAGTTCAGACCTTTTACAGCTCAAACCCCACTATGCCACATACAAAGGTTTGACTCTTCATTCTATTCATATTTTATTTGTAAAGAGGAAGTTCAATTTAGAGATATTCACCCCCCCCCCCAAAAAAAACACCTGAACTGTTCATTTGTGGAATAAACTCTTGAGAGGATATTTCCCTAACCGCTATGATCTTAACCTCTTCAAGTCTAGGGTCAACTTTTATCTTGGTATCCCCATAAAAATCACTTATTACTTCCCCCTCTTTACACTCTTATAGTAAACCTCATTCATTAACCCTCTACCTTTAGTGGCTCTTGGGCTTTGTATTGGGTGAACATTAGTTTCTGTATGTATGTGTGTGTGTGTGTGTGTGTGTGTGTGTGTGTATATATATATATATATATTATAAAAAGAAGAGAGGAACCACAAACGTTTTTGGTTGTAATAAGCATAATATATTTTTTTTAAAAAAATCCACATTACAACCAAAAACATTTGCAGTTCCTCTCTTCTTTTTATTATACACACTTTTCTCTTGTTGGAACTACTATAACCTCTTCCTTTATATATATATATATATATATATATATATATATATATGCCAATTGGTTTAATGAACTTACCTTCTTGGTACTTCAAGTGCATGATTTTAAGTGTGCTACTAAATTGGCAACTGGATTTCTTTGTTGTACTGTTGAAATAGCTTGATAAAACCGTACATTTTATTCTAATATTTTTTCTCTCCTGTGGAACTCTCTTCCGGTTTCTTGTATCTCTACCACCTACGATCTTCAAAACTTTAAATGCAACATTGGTCACCACCTTTTTGTCTTCCTGAAACCTGTTTTTTTGTCTTTTCTTCTCCCTAACATCTTTTCATTTCTTTTCACTCCTAGTAACCCTTTGCGTCTTGGTAAAGTCTGGGGTGAAGTGATTAAAAAAGACAAACCAAAAAAGAAAGAATATATAAATTTCAAATTTTCTGTCTAAATTTTTTTTTATGATGTTTCGGCTGTTCTCTAGCTTTCTTCAGATATCTTTCTTTCCAGATAACCTTCATGGAATTTTGAACCTAATCTACAAGGTTAAATTGTTCTTATCCCACTCTCCATGTTGAGGGATATCTTGTCATCTTTTTTTTTTTTTTTTTTAACAGTTCAGTTATTGCTGGCTCTGTTTTCACTGAGTTGGTGTCTTCGCTACTTAAGAATTGGACTTACAAGTCACCAAATTCCTGAACCAACACTTCAATTTATAAATAATTTATAATTGAAACATAATAGTTAATGTACAAATCATACTGAAACACTGGTTCTTGTACGATCACTGAAATTAAGCAACATTATACTTGCTCAATATCTACATGGGTGACTGTTTGGAAATAGCAAGTACACTAAGCTTGGATGTGCAGGTGGTGTAATGGATAACAGCTTGGAATTTGAAATTGGATAGTTGAGTTCAAATCTCAGTCAGGTTTGTTACATTAAATTATGCACAAATACCCTTGGGAAAGGTATGAATCCATCTCTTCTCCCTCCAGCAATGGGTTAAGACCTGTATTAATAAAATAAATTCAAACTCGGCTCTCAGATTCCTCAATCCAAGCTGATATCCACTACTCCACCGTGCCTCCTCCGTGACCACCAGATAATGTAAGCAAAAAACTTGGTATTAAACCAGTTGGGCATGGTGCTAGCAACTTTTTCCTGTAAAATTTTATTTGGTCTGGGGACCACAGCAGTAATACCTTGTATTGTTAAGAGCCACAACTCCATATTCCTCAGCAGAGCCTATGGGCCAGGAGGAGAGGAAGGGAATAGTTAATGTGAAATGTATGTTTTCTCACACTCTATTTTATGATCAATAATATTTTATGGTTTTTATTCTTCAGACTTTCCAGAGTTTGTGGACAATTCAGAAAATGAAGGCCTCAATGAAACTGATACATCAGAATACGGAGATGATGACTTTGAACCACAGAAGCCTCCCCTCAGGTAAGAAGTGTTTTTTTTATTGGATAATAAGCATATTGACTGCAAAAGAGACTCATGTAGGGATCATATTGCTGAGCCAATACAGTCACTGCTCTTAGTAGGACTGATCTTCACTAAATCAAAGGGCTAACGACAGATGCCTACTACTCAGATTTGTGTCCTCATCTTTGATATTTTCCATCCTCCATGAATTGATTCTATTTGGAATATATGGCCACAGCCTCACCACCAAAGCGCCATATCCTCATCACAGAAGGGCCACAATCTCACCACTGTAGATGTTGGTGCTGTGGTTTGCATAGCAAATAGTTTAATTGGGTGGAGTTGTCAGCCCTGTGCTCGACCAGTTTTAAATTCAGAATTGTCTTCCTAGACCAGTTGCTAGTGTGTCAAGTCTGCCCTGCTATTTAGCCCATAGCTGGAGAGAGAGAAGAGGTGGATTAATATCTTTACTAATGGTATTTGTGTGAAAGTGAATGTAATAAATGTGACCAGAATTTGAGCTCAGCACGTTGTTTCCATTTCTGTGCTGATAACCACTCCTAAATCCCCGCTTTGACTGTGATGCGAAGCAAGGTATGTGTCCCCGCTTTGACTGTGCCATTAAATTTGCCAATCCAACCTGACCTTACTCCACATAGTGGGTGCCGAACATAGCTCTGTCTTTGATTTGTTGCATCTATTGAAACTTACAGCCATATCATGTTGAAACACTGTTTCTCTGTTTGCCGAAGTTAAGCAATGTCGAGTCTGGTCAGTACCTAAATGGGTGACTGCTTGGGAATACCAGGTGCTGTAAGCTTTAATGTGCAGGTGGCATAATGAATAACTCTTTGGAATTGGAATTTGGTATTCCAAGTTACAATTCCAATTGTGTTTGTTATTTTCACTTACAAGTACCATTAGGAATGTTATTAATTCACCTATTCTCCCCACAGCTATGGGCTAAATAGTCGGACATGTGTCAGTAAAATAATTATCTCCAAAAAGTTCTCATAATCCCAAAATAAATTCTGGTTTTAAATAACATTCAAAAGGTTGATAAGCCATAAAAAAACAAATCAATCAAATTCAATTGGAACTTTATTTTTATGTCCCTATGTCTCTTCTGTTTGTTTTGTGCTTCTCTCTTTGTCTCTGGTGTAGTGTAGCTTGGGTGTGGCACAAGGCCAAAAGTATGGGGTACCCAGTGAGGATTGTACTCCTTATTCTGTTGTAATTGATCTAGTAGTGGGACAGACTTACTAATCATTACACCACATCAAAGTACCCTTCTCTTTTTGTCTATGTGAACTTTTTTTTTATAGACATTGTTGTCCGTTTTGCTTGTTCAGACACCACTGCTGTGCCTCTCCCTCTCTAGATGCCTTTTTACAGTTTTGCCTTCAAATTTTTTTCACTTTGTCTTGATCCTTACATAATGTTTCCTTTTTTATTTTCAAGCCCGACACAAAGCACAAATATTCCATTGATGCGTATCATCCAATCGGTGAAACATACCAAAAAAGCTGGATCCAACATCCTCAAAGAAGGCTGGATGGTGCATTTAACAGACAAAGATCCATTGGTGAGTTGGACCAAAAAATTCTTTATTGGGCCTGTGTTTCTTTTTTCTATATTTCATGATATGTCTTGGGATTGATTGTGGAGTGGTTTCCTGTTGCCTTCTCCAGGGTGGTTTATGGAGACACCACCTCTAGTTAGCAGGCCGTTGACTCAGAGAGTTCCTCTGTCCTTTCTTAGCTCTTGTTTTTCATCCTACTGGCTTGCTAACAAGCCGCTTCACTCAAAAGAACAGGGAGTGGGGTAGTTGGTTTAGTCGCTGACATTTCAACTGGAATACTTACTGAAAGGGGGGATTTTTTTTATTTTTTTTTTTTTAAATATGTTTTAACTTAGTATAAGTTCCATTACCCTCTATTAAAACAATATACAATAGGTCAAGACAGCATCATAGAAAAAGTGATTCTTACTACTTACAATTGGAACCCTGTGTTAAATCTTGCTAAGCTTGAATCAATTGTCATTTATGTGGTCAAAACGTTAAAGTCCTTGCAACTATTAGAAGGATTTTCATATGCAAGTCTGAGAGACCACTTCATTAGTTAATAACAATAAAAAAAACTGATACCCCAATTTATGCCCAACAAAATCTTATATCAATACCAGTTTAGCCATGTCAGTATGTGCGAGTGGTGTGATGGATAGAGACTTGGAAGGAGGAATTGGATACCTGAGTTCAAATTCCAGTCAGGTTCATTACATTCATGCATGTGAAAATACCCTTGGGAAAGATATGAATCCATCTTCTCCTGAAAGCTATGGGTCAAATAGTAAAACTTGTATCTGGAAAAACCATTGTTTGCAAAAAAAAAACTGTTAATGCAATGTTCATTTGCAAAAAAAACAAAAACAAAAAACAATTATTCCTTAAATCCAAAATATGTTTCGGCTTAGGATTGATAAATCATAAAAGAACCAATCAGTCAATTAATCAATTAGCCATTTCATCAAAAATGATAGCCATTGATGTTTTAAGTTTGTATTATTAAAAGACATTCAAATATGAATCTTTTATTATTGGGGCCTTGGCCTCTTGTAGTGCTTAGCAAGGCTAGGCTGAATGGATCATTATTACTGGGTAGTGAATTTGCTCCTAACTGGGTGCCTCGTACAGAATCATCAACAAGAGTTGGCATGTTATAAAATCAACCAGCCTAAAGAATATTATTTATATAGAGTAATTTTGTGGGGATCTGCTTATATTAATATGAAGTTGGTTATCCATGTTGTCAAAAATGATGGCATATATACAATTGGTATTTTATATTCTCACTATTCTTGGGTTTTCACATGTTAATCTTTGACTATAGTTAATTCTCCCATTCTATATCTATAATTCTCAAAATGTATGTATATATTTGTGTGTGTGTGTGTGTGTGATTAGATGTTGTTTGTTTCTAGAGTTTTCATCTGATTTCAATGAATTTTTTTTGTTTGATAGATAATTCTTCAGTGTTAGTTTTGAGTCCAAATTGGCATGAAAAAATTACAACCTTTGAAGGTGAAGAAAAAAAAAAAAGAAAAGTTTTTTACACTTTGCACAAAAATCAAAGGCAAAATTTAATGTAAAAAAAAAAAAAAACAGCGTGCAATCAATTTAGAGAGTTGAAATCTAATGCAAAAAAATACTATATTATAAAAAAAATTATATAAATAAAAATTATCGTATATTATTATTATGATGGTCCATGGAAGAGGTTCTTTCTTTGCAAGATTGAGAATGCAAATTTGGGGATGTGCCTTATTTGCACCCAATTTTTACTAATATTGATTTTCAGGCGGGCTGACTGACTTTAAACTACTCCAATTGAACAGCAAAAATTTCCAGTAATAAAACACCCAGTTGAAGACAGTTTATACTGCTAGTTATAAATATATAGCAATTATTGGGGTGAGGGATCAGTTTATTACTTAATGCCAATAGAAAACTGATCCCCCACTTTACATCCAGTAAAATCTTCTATTAATATGAGGTTATCCCTGCTGTCAAAAATGATGGCATATATAAAATTGATATTTTATGTTCTTGCTATTCTTGGGTTTTCACATGTTAATCTTTGAATATAGTTCTTCCAATTATTTACATATAGTAATTCTTGGGGGATCAGTTTATTATTTAATAACAATAGAAATCTGATCCCCCTACTTTATGTCCAGTAGAATTTTATATTAATGCTAACTTACACATGCTGTCAAAAAATGATGTTTTTGTTAAAATCCTACTGTAATTCGGTTTTCACGTATTAGCCTTTAAATACAGGTTTCTAATTATTTATGTGGTTATTAATGATGGATCAATTTATTACTTAATAACTATATAAATCAGATCCCTCATTTTATGTCCAGCAGAATCTTATATTCCTACGAGTTTATCCATGCTGTCAAAAATATTTTAACTTCTTTCACTTATAAGGTGGTTTTCATGTGAGTCTTTGAATGTTTGTTTCCAATTACTAATATGGGGTAATTAATGGGGGATCAGTTTATAACTTAATAAAGATATAAAACCGTTCCCCCTCTTTATGACCAGTAGAATTATAATATCTATGCTGTCAAAAAATAATTTTTCATTGTCCTTACTATCATTAGGTTTTCCCATGCGAGTTTCTAAACATGTTTTCAATTATTATGTAGTAATTTATCAGTGATCAGTTTATAACTGAATAAAAATAGAAAACTGATTCCCCACTTTATGGCCAGTAGAATCTTTCATTTGATCCATTTTATCCATGCTGTCAAAAATTATTTTTTAAGTTCTTACAATTATAAAGTTTTCATATTTGAGTCTTTAAATACATTTATTTCCAGTTATTAATGTAGTATTTAATGAGGGATCAGTTTATTACTTAATAACTATAGAAAACCGATCCTCCACTTTATGTCCAACAATTTTATATTAATATTTATTTACCCAAAGTCTTTTTTTTTTTTTTTTTTTTTTTCACCTCTTAACTTGGAACAATCTGCCATTTTCAATACAAAGACACTGCCCCCTGGTGTCGCCAACACATTGGAAATAACCATGCTACAGTGAAAAATAAAGACTGTTGGCAAATTATATATGGAAATTTTTTTAGATTTCACAACAACAATTCTTTCTTTGCATTATTCATTCAAATTGTCCAGTATTGTTGGTACAAAGACACCTGACATTGTGTGTGTATAAGGGAGATAACTCTATCACAGCAAATAGTTACAGGCATTACAGAAAATAACTATACAAATATACTAAAAGATGATCTCCTTATCACTGTGCTCTACTCTGGATGCCCATGAATATTTTGCAATATGGAAAAATGTTCCTTGTAGTTAATTTATTCTTTTATATGCAAACTCCTTTCTGGAGAAGATAATGGCTCTCTACAACTTCTTGGTTTTTAACATTAGCATTCACACAAGCTGATTAAGTAGGTTACTTGTTGTCCACCCCCAGTTCTTTTTGCCTTCATAATGTCCTGTGAGTGTTAAATTTTCTAGGCCCTTTTTCCTCATTTTGTATCCCAGAAATTTCAAGTGTATCTTTCTGATTGTAAGTATAAGTTTTCTTATTGCTGCTATTTTCCTTAAGACTTCCTCATTTCTCACATTTTCTGTCTATGGTATTCTTAGTATTCATCAGTAGAAACACATCTCTGTTGCTTCAAGTCTCTTTATCTGTGAGGAGATTATCCAGCATTCACTGCCACATAGGAGATTAGATATTACATAGCAGTCCAGCACGCTTTTTCTTGTTTATAAGGGCATTTTCCCAATCTCTTAAGACTTTGTCTGTAGAATCACCTGTCACTTGAAGTCTCTTCATCTGTGAGGAGATTGGCCAGTGTTCACTGCCATAGATACTGCATAACTGCTGAGCACTCCTTTCAAACAAAATTTTCCAATCTTTTAATACTTCGCTTAGTTTCTAGAAGGCATCTCTTGCTATTCCTATGTGTCTTCAGAAATTTGTACCACATTTTCTCTCATCTGTTATTATGCTACCCAGATAGTTAAAATTTCTGTACCTGCTTGATTTTTGACATCCCCAATATGTAGCTCACACCTTGGGTCATCTCTTTTGCTGACAACCATACATGGATGACAAAATAAAGAAAAAAAAAATGACATCCTTATCACTGCCATATCGCTGTTTGCTTTATTGTATCAGTTCTTGCTTGTTAACTTTGGCACCAAGAAGGTTGATATGAAAGTTTCGCATGAAGACAAAATTTTTATTTCAACATTAATCTGCTTATTAATATTCTCTAGTAGTTTCAAACGTGAGTAAGTGTGTCTTGTGAAACATTCTACAATTTTAATCTGCCAAACCTACACACACTTATATTTTTCATATTTTATGTTTTTATTTATTTATTTTTTCATACATAATCCATTGTTAAATAATAATTTAAGTTGTCATGTTAGGTAGACCAATTTAGGGTGAGGGGTGATCAGCTGATTAATTAATAACAATACAAAAACTGATCCCCCTTTTTATGTCCAGTGGAATCTTGTATTCCAACCAACTTTAATTTACAAAAATTTAAATGCGATGTCAATCACTATCTACTGTACTCCTGATTACTCTTCCTGCTCATTATTAATGTTTCTATTCCTAATTCTTCCATACCCTGTGACCTCCTTGTGTCTTAGGGGTGTTACTGCCTTGTGTGGGGTGATACTGATTTAAAAAAAAAAAACACATTTTTTTCAAAAATATCTCGTGCTTTGGTCAGATTTTTTTTGTGGATGGAGGAGATGGTCTGGCTGTTCAAATATGGGTGTTTTGTTAAAAAAAAAATAATGATGAAAAAATGGGCATTTGTTTAGAAAATAAAGACAAAAATATTTAATCTAGAATATGATGGCCAGTATTATATATGCACACACACACACACAGTGGATGCTGAAAAGTTCTGGTCTTGAAGATGGGATCCAAAATTAAATTCTGATTTTTGGCTAGTTTTTTGGAAATTGATCAGGTGACGATCATTTCAGCATGCTCTTGCATAAATAATAATTTCT